TTTCATCGCTCGCTAAACTCGCCTTTTTCTTAATTTCAATTTATCTATCGGCATTCTTTTCCCGTCCAATATCTCTTTTTTCAAACTTATTCCTTTATCTGTCCCTGCCGAATCCAGAATTTCTCCAAGTCTGTACAAACAATTATTAAAATTTTCGCTGACTTCCCTTTTGCAATTTCCTGTTCATCCGGCTTCTAAATAGGATGTCTAAAGTTTCTCTGCTTAAAATTCTTGTAATTTCTCTATATGTATCAAGTCTCTAAATTTCATTCCTGTTGCAAAACTAGCGCGTTTCTTTATATTCAATCCCTTCTAGCCCTATAATTATTACTAGCGCCGATTTCTCAGGAACGATATGGGGGATAAATTATACATTAAAATGATTATATTCTGCTATTATGATTTAGACCCATACCCACCTTAATATGCAACTGTCCTTATGACAATTTCATATATTGTCGGCCACTGGTCTATTCTTGGAACGATAGGAAAAGATTAAATGGCTTGCCTTTAGAAAGCAATTACATAAAAAATTCCATAAACCCATACTATTTGCTTTAATAGATTGTTTTGCATATTTTTTAAATGAAGTGTTATGTGATAGATGTATATAGTTTTGCCTAATGAAGCAAAATGTTAAGCTTATTTATATATCTCAAATGTTGGTTTACTGCTACAAGGGTCCCTATATTTTTGCATCGACTTTTATGTTATCCTTTTTGATCCTTTAACCTTGAGAGTATCAGCAGTCAACTACAACTTCAAGAACATCCTCCGGCTTCCGATCAGACTAATTTACGAATAACTCCCATTTACCTGAAACGAAATGAAAGCTTTACCAAAATTATATTACTGTATTCTTTTGCATCTAGAATTGTGTTTTTGGACGTAAATTGAAATTCACTGCACACAAGAAGACTGATTTATGCTAAGGTATTTTAGCCCAACTCAGTCTGATACATTGTTAACCCTGCTTTTTTAAAAACAATTTTGTTTTTTTATCATCCTGCATAGTTATTTATCAAGCTCAAAGAATGCACTATCAGGAAATTGCTTATATGTAAATTAATTTCTGCATTATTTTCCCAAAGAGCTTCTTGCAACATATTTTATCAGCTGTATAAACTCAGAATAGTGAGCGAATAAGAGCCTCATTAAAATTAGCAGCTCTTATCTCTTTCATTATACCTTATAGTATGACCTTATTTTCGCAAAACTAATGCTGTCTCCGTAACTGAGATGAATGTTGCGAACCTTTTTATAACTACTATAGCAGAGAACTTCGAAAATGGCGCTTATCTTTGTCGCCTTGACAATGCGCAAAATGTAAATTATCTAAAATATTATAATATAGTAATGTAGCTTATTTTTTGCGTAAGATAATTACATCGTTCTCACCAGAAATTGAAGGCTTGATCACTTACGTGTTTTATCAATTGATTTCACAGAAGTGCTTTTATTTATACTGTCTTCAAGATTCTTTTCTTCAATTCATGTTAGAAGTGCTCATATGAAAAATAAGCTCAGTAACACACATGCATGTTTTGATGTAATACAAAAAAACTATCCGAAGTATAAATTAAAAAAAAACTTCATTGCTTGGGAATAAATATGCATAAGCAACTGACTTTTTAAAAATAATGATGGAAAATAACCAAGTATCTTAATGAAAATATTATTCCTTCATGATGAATTACTGAATGTATTCAACCATACATCAAACATTTCCCCCCCAGTAAATCAGATGTATGGGTTAAGCTCAACCTGTTTCGTTTATGATAATGAAGGACTGATGGTGTGAGTTTCACACTATGATATGATTAAAGATAAGTTTTCAGTTGAATGTCACATCCTTGTTGGCATTAGAGATCTTCCCCTCCAGGATATACTGCTATCTCTATCTGGGCTTCGAGCTTCTTAACACCCCCAGTGGGAGTCGAACAATTATACTGTAGTGTGTAATCTTGACACGTTAACCATTGGGTCATGTCACGAGTGGCTTTGGGTCATGTGGTAGATATGAATTTTACGGAAGATCAGACATTTTTCTATATCACATTCTGTGGAGGTATTTTCGATGAAGCAATATTGTATTTGCTATAGCAATCGACGTCATTTTTGTTTTATAGTAGGTTTTCGAGACTACCAGTAAATTAGGCATATAATTTGTTTGATATGGGAAAATAGTTCATCTACTTTGAACTCTACATCTGCTGTGTGGTTCAAGTGCACTCGTGGTAAAATGGCGTAGTGACTAGCCTACCAAATTACACGATATATTGTCATGGCTCGACTTATGCAAGGGTTGCTGATAAGACTTAGGCGTTATTGAGACTACAGTCCACCCTATATACGAATACATATTTGGAACCAAAGGCATTTGCAATTCGATGGAGACGTAAAGGTCCACTCATATTATTGTGGTAACAATAAGCTAGCAGTTCTTGATCACTTTAAATAAAATATAATGATCATAAATCATATAGATCAATACGTGTCTCATATTATGGCAATAATTATCCCAGTTGAATTAATTTGCCTTATCAAATTTTCACACCTTAATAAATAAAAAAAATGTGTTATAATAAATATTCTTTAAAATATTTTAAATGCGCTTTGCTTCTTTTTAGAATTATAAAGGTCATGGTAACATGTTTTAATGAATGACTTGTAGCCAACACCATCTCTTCGTTCCTTGGAGGCGCATTATACGTAGCCGTTCTCTGTCTTCGTTCCTGTCACGTATCCTCTCTGTTGCCGTTTCTTGATGTAAGATCTTTTTTTGTGTACATAATTTTTTAAAAACATATAGAGTTCAGAATGTCGCTCTCTCTTTTGAAACCCATTGCTCCCGTGGATATGAAGCACAAATCTAGAACCAAAGTAACTGTAGTTGGTGTTGGTTCCGTCGGAATGGCAGCTGCGTTTTCCTTGCTAGTCAAGGTAATTTAAACGAATTTATTATAAATCAAGGGAGTTTGTGGAGAAATAGCATTGGTTGACGTTCTGGCTGACAAAATTCAAGGAGAGGTTCTTGATATGCAGCATGGCATGCAATTCATCAAACACTGTTCTGTAATAGGTGGAACTGGTATGTAATATATTTACTTAATTACAAAGATTATGCAAATTCTGCAAACTCGGATATTGTTGTTATAACCGCTGGAGCTCGTCAAAACGAAGGGGAGTCACGTTTAAATCTTGTCCAAAGAAACGTAGGAATATTCAAAGGTGTCTTAATTTGATTAGCGATCGGTGTATACATTTATAAAAAATCCTAATATTGTACTCATTTTTTCAGCAATTATTCCAGATGTGATGAAACACAGTCCTAACTGCATATTGGTGATCGTTTCCAACCCCGGCAAGTTTTTGTCGATAAATAAATTCCGTTGTTATACAAGCATATGGGTAGTTTTATTTAAGCGCTGATGTTAGTTTTAACATTATTGGGAAAGTTCA